ACGGCAATCGCATGACAAAAGTCTTGGGTGAGGAATGCTCATAGAATCCCAGAACAGCTGCTTGATCTGCTTCTGGGCAACTGTGCCACCAAGTCAAAGCCCCTCCGGCAGTAAAATGTTCGAAGCCTTGTTTTGTCCAAAAATCTTCGCTGTCGCTGAGTGCTTTCAATATGAGAAACCTTGCGCCTTGAGCCGCGACTTTTTGTTGCATGGCTTGCACCAACGTTGCGCCTGCACTGCACCCGCAGCTCCCGCAACTTATCAGCTCGACAAGGGTTGGCGTCAACCATCTCCACACCAGCCCCCCAAAAGTGCGGACAGCAAACAATGCATTGTTTTGACTGGACTCCATCCAGGGCTGGGGTGTGATTTCCATGCGGTTGTAAAGTGTTTTCTCGCATGCCCTCAGCATGTCTTTCTCAAAACTTGTAGCCACCATGCCAGGATCAATGACGAAAGTCTGACCGCACTCCAAGGCGGCTCGCACGTTCTCCAGCAATTCTTGGCGGGAACAAAGTTTCTCCAAAGACTCTTGACTATCCTGCACCCACGCGCGTTCCAACATAGCTCCGCTCTTGGCAAGCCTCCACATACGACTTACCTGACTTCCCAGTCGCTCCTTCAATTCCTTCCACTCTCTGATCGCCATCAACAGAACAAGTAGCGTCACAAGAAACGCGGCCCAGCCGATCACGCAAAGCCTCAGCCAGTCTGACTCATTTGTCAAAGGCGCTCGTCGTGGCAGAAATGCTGAAGGCTGCGGCTGCACCATATGTCCAAACCAGAGGGCCGCAAGCGAGAACCGTCGACTTGAGAGGCAGAGTCGGCTTGAGCCAAAGTCAAAGTGCACCGAGGCACGGAAGCTGTGATGACATGCACAATGCAAAACATCAAACTTCTTCAATTGCCCTGTTTCTTCACCCCAACTCGCGATGTGCGCGAGTACAGGGGTTGCAGCACCATTTTCTCTTCGGTTTTTCAGCTGTTGCAGCACTTTCACACAGGAGTCGCAAGAAATGCCTGAGAGAAATCCGATTATGCGAAGGAAGAATGACAAGAACATGGGGAAATCCGAATCCAGCATTCCGTAAACAATGGGTATGAATACAACTAATATTATAGGCCCTATTGTAGGCTAGGGACTTGACATCACGTCATCAGCGAAGACCCAAGTTCATGTCCATGTCCAAAGTGGTAATCTAAAAATGTCTTCATGGGTGGCGCTTCGAGCCAGTGTTCGCAGCTTGCGTAACCAGTACGTCGGTCTTTACGCTAGCGCTGGCATTTCAGTCTGCTCAGGTAGAAACATGATCGAAAATTGTTTGACATGTTCGCCCCGGGTTGTTGGACTGTTCACATTGGTTGTGGAATGCGTAAGAATGCGAAAAAAGACAGAGACAGCTGATGCCTCGAGTTCTGTTGCAATGTGGGCCACAGAAGCCACAAAAGCCACAAAAGCCACAAAGCCCGGCTGGGAAACAAACAAAATCCAAACAAAAACAAAAAAAACTCCAAAAGAAAATGCCCCTTAGTTCTTTCTTAGAGAATATTGGATGATTGGTTTTGCGACACATTGACCTACCTAAAATTGGACCGTAGCTGCCATAGCTGAGGGGCCGGACAGACCTTGAAAGGTGCCAAAGTTCATAAGGCCTGTTCCGTACAGGCCGCTTATCCCACGCATTCGTCCAGTCATTGGGGGGCGCTGTGAGGTGCTCAAAAGATTACCCGAAGAACTAATCGATTCCTGCTGAACATGGAGGCTCCAGGGATTCTTTTAACTGGGAGACATGTTCCACTAGGAACTAAACGGCAAAATCCTAGTGGATAAAGACGATAAAGGACTCACTTGTTCAGTTTCTCCAAGTTTCTCCAAGGGAAGTGGAAAGAAATTGGGCTCCTTGAAACCTGGGAACCTTTGATCTCGTTCTGTGGAACAGTCAAACAATGGGTTCTTTTGGTTCAACTTCAGCGGTCCTTGTCCCAGAGACAAGAGTGACAAGAGTGAGACTATCAGGGAATGCGCTTGAAATGAAAGGAGCTCCAGCAGGTGAGATGGACTGTGGCTGACTGTGAATCCGTGAAATATTTGTAAAGATGCCCCTGTGTTCCACATTGCATCCAAGACCTCCGATGATGGAAGATGCACAATGGACCAATATGACGAGAATGTCCAAGAATCATCAGAATTCGCAAGAATCCCACTGGTGATCTTTCAGCTCAATGATGTTGGGCTCCAAATTTGCCACATTTTTTGGATCTGCTATTTGCTTGATTTGCTTGTCTTTTCTCATAGTCCTCTTGCCATTTACGTGTGCTTGGTTCAGATTCCGCAGGTTCAGTTCCAAAACTGAAAATCACGTCATGATCACACTGTAAGATCAGCTAGTGGGATGATCACTGCTCTCATTGACACCAGCAACCACCAAAAACACTCAATGCAGAAAACAAAAAAAACAAAAAAAAAATCAGAATGCATATGTGACTTGCTCTCCTGCTACTGCATGCTCCTGCTGCAACATTTCTCCACAGTGCAAGACTCACACCGGTGCAGGTTCACTGCAGCTGGTACGGTCAGAAGTAAGGAGCCCAGAGATTATGTGCAGATCACTTTACAGATCCGCAGGATCCAGAAGCAAAGCCTCGTGCAGTGGCTTTGCTCCGTGGCCTAGCGCCTAGTGTCCATCCGAGAAATTCCTCCAGTGCCAGTTTCTCACAAGCGGCCCATGGAACATTCGTAGCCAACAAGCTTCGGTTCTGAGACTTGGTGACTTGCCTTCGGACCTTCGGACCCTCCCGGCAGCCAAGAGCCTTGCTTTCCAGGCTCTGGCCGCCACGAGAGGATCTGACGGTGGGCTGAGTGCGAAGAGTGCAAATCAGTGCCAAATATTCAAAACGTCTCACACCGATGCTCATGGCATTGGGGATGGCATTCACTGGGGCATTCACTGGCAATGAGCAGGGATTTGCCCACTGACAGAACTCGGAGTTTCTCCCAAAGGCTTGCACCTCCCAAGACTCACCACCATGCAATGCCATGTAACCCCATGTACTCTTCGCTCAAGATCAAGATAGATTAAGTAATAAGTAACAGGATTCAGATAAAGGTGTGACCACTGGAATGGAGATCATGGAGTCACAGCTGGTGATTGCATACTTGTAGTGGTCAAAATCAATGCACAAAAAGTACCAAAAGAAAGCGCAGTGCACCGCGGAAAGGTCTGCGGTGGCTGCATGTCGAGCAAACGTCCAATGACCTGCGCATGAAAATGCGTCAGATTTATCACAACGAAGTGAATGATAGCGTTCTAAGCCATAAAGTATCTTAACAGTATCTTTTAGCTTGGTGGCAGGTCAGCAACCTCTGACATTCTACCTTCCACAGATTTGCCAAAAGGCCCAAGCAATTCCAACTGTGAGTTAAAATTGTGTTCAAATTCACAGAGAAAGAGGCTTGCAAAGTATGTAGAAGTCTAGCTTCCTCGCATTAGTTTCGATTTTTGAGAGATGTGGGGATTGTGGGGGTACAGTAAATAGAACAGCCCATCACTTCGTGTGCCTGATCCCCGTTGATCCTAAAAGCCCAAAGCTTGTGCCGTGATCATATCCGACTGGGTGTGAACAAAGGATACAGCGACCGTACCCCATTCCAGTTTGTCAAAATGTCCCGATTCAGATTCAGATTGCCACAAATTAGGAGTATAGACAGTATATAGCCGTATAGCCATGTCTTTACAAACCCAACTGGCCCAACTGTCACAAAGGAGATGTGGCCGGGACAATGAAATGGCACTGTGCCTTTTGCTGATCTGCGCTGAAGTTTGCATCGTTGGACCTGCCAGAAAAGGCCGAGTTGGTGGTCCAAGATGGGTACCTTTGAACCCACCAACTTGATCAATGGAGATGGATTACATTTACATGAATAAGTGATGAGAAATGATCATAAATGATCATAAATCATGACAAATCATGATAAATCATGACAAATCATGATAAATCATGGTAAGCTGGAAGTGGATTAAGCATCCATTGGGTGCCAATCATTCTGAACGACATCCCTACCAGATCTCTGTCAATCCATCAATCCTGGATTGGGAATCTAAGTTCCAAGCCGTGCATGCAGGGTTTGGAGAAGCGCTACAAGACGGTCCTGCTGAAACGATCCAATGCTTCAACTATCTTCAACTGTTCGACTCACTGGAAACCTTCCAGATTCCAGGGGGCAAATCATCTCGGAATATCCTGGATGTCGATCAAACTCACTGATCTGACTGCTGTCTGGGTCTACTGATCGGAAGTTATTTTCTAATTGCATATATATATATATTCATACATATTCTATGCACATTATCATCGCTGCTCCAAGAGGTTTCGTCATGCATATTATTTGGTCTGATCATGTTGGACGAGCTTTCCGCGGCCGGCGTCCTTGTTTTTCACAAGAATCTGCTGAATTCGCAGTGGCTTCTGTGGATTAACCACAAAGATCTTGAACCTTATAGCGTTTTGAATCTGGTGTCCCAAAGTAGCCATAGCGCATCGCTTCATTCCGCAGTCGAACAAAGTGTCTGGCAGATGAAATGCCTCAACCTGAAAGGCATGGGAGTCGGCCAACATAAGGTTCATCACAATCCTTGGTGGAACATGCTGGAACATGGTGGAACATGGTGGAACGTCACTCTGCCTTGTGAAGTGTTGAAGAAATGGCTGCAGCTAACATAGAAAATCATAGAAATCAATGATTAAAAATGATTAAATCATTCCAGTGATTCTATGATATTCGATCAAATCATGAAATCTGCTGAGCACAAAAAAGACTTAGCCCGGAGCTTCAGGTTCTGTTCATTGCTGACATAGCTCAGCATCACCCTGGCAAGGATGGCCCCTCTCCGTCATGATCCTCCCATGGTCCTGCCATGGTCCTCCCATGGTCCTCCCATGGTCCTCCCATGGTCCTCCCATGATCCGCTGAGCCTCTGAAATTTTCGATCCATCAACATTCCTGCAAGGAGAGCTAATGCCTGACATCAAGGACTTTAACACTCATTGCACCAATGAACTTTCTTCACAAAAATGTGCTCCTGTGATTCCTGTGGCTATAGATTCTTTGACTGAAAAATGGAAAAACATTAATTGCTATAAGACAGGCAAGGCTAAATCTTAAATCCACAAGACTGCTGTTGAAACATTGCGAATAGGTAAAGCCCCGCAAGTCAGTCGTCGGATCGCAATGAATTCTCTTAGGCCAGCTTTGCCTGTCGCCCAACGACGTAATCCTGCCAAAGCGAAAGTTCTTGCCCCACGTTCTGAGCAATTGGTCCTCTCAATGTTTAAAAGCCTTCAAACTTATCACTTTGCTGATCCCAAAAACCAACCATCTCTATATGACTTGTATGAGTTCACAAATCCTGCAGGGCCCGAGACATGGAATTATCTTTACGCAGCGACAACCAGATCTCATAAAATATCCCGGATATCCCAGAAAAAAAAATGGAAAAATGGGGGTTTCAGGGCGTATATGTTTGTATGTTGCTTGTTATGATTTTGTGTTGGGGTTCAATGTTTCATCTTCGCCTTTGATGTTTTTTCAGGTGGGGTTTTGGGGGTAATTTTGTTGCTAAAGTGATGTGTCAATGTTTGGATTGAAGGGGGGTAGGATTTGTTTAGGCTGTTGGGGTTTTTGTTTGTGTTTGAGTGGGTGATTACTTCATAATATGTGTTGTTAAGATATTATGAATTAATCATTTATGCTTTCCACTTTCCTATTCCATCCCACCAGTGTTCAATCACTCTCATTTGTGTTAAGCAAGGTTTGTTTGTATCATTTAGTTCATCCATTGCTATTGATAAAAGCGTTAGGTTGATAATCATAGCGTTGAATTCTCCATCTCGGTTGAGTTCCTTTCCACAATCAATGATGATTTTTTTATCAGTGAGGTTTTCATACATCTTTTTCATTATATCAAATCTTACGAATGAATATATTATCATTCCATTTACTCCTTCTGCTTCTTTCATCCTATCAATTACTTTCTTCCAAAACTTTTCTCCTTCCTCATCATCTGGTGAAGGCATAGGATGGCACTTTACAAAGTCTCCAATCTCTTCATCTTCTTTTTCTATTTGTTTTCTTTCCCAATCATCGTCCTCACTATCACTACCAAAGTCAGCATATATACCAATATTCCCTGTATCTATAACCTCAATTTTTGCTCTACTCATTTTCTCTTACTATATATAGATATTTTTTTCTTTAAGTATTTATCACTTTTTGTAGGTGCTCTTTTATTTCTTCTATGTTCAAATATTTCTCATAACCGTTGAACAGTTCTTCAACATATTCACGCAAGAAAATTTCCAAAATGTTTTTTATCTTGAACTCCCTGTTTCTAAACATAAAAGTTCGTTCAACATTAGGAAACCACCAGCATCTTCGTTGCTTACTGTAATTGATGAAATTAAGGTCGTGAAAGTTCTTTAGAATATGATAAGTGTATTTCCAATGGTTTTTGACATAAGACTTAATCGCTTGAAGATATATCTTATCCTTTTGAAATTCTACCTTCAGTTTATAGGTGTCCAATAAAGCATCTATTTCTCTCTTCATTACTCTTAAATTTGTTCGGTCGGTGTTGGATAAATAGATAGGTGATTTTTCCATCCTTGTTTTAAAGAAATGTATTTGTTTTTCAACTCTTGTTAGTTCTTTCTCTTCAAAATGGTCGAAATGATAGTTGAATGTTATATATCTGCGTTCCTTATCATTCAACTCTTTACATTTTGAACAGTGAAGGTTGTAATCACATATCTCATCACAAATTCCAGCAGGAAAAATGTTGTTCAATAAAACCTTAATGTCAGTCATTTCTTTTTTACAACATCCACAGTTTTTATAAGTAAATAGCATCCTCTTACTGTATATAGTCATTTTTTCTTTAAGTAGTTTTTGGGGGCTCGTTCAGTTTTCGGGTTCGGGTTGGTTTTTATTTTCCCTTTCCTCCTCTTCCAGTTCTCTTATGACCATATCTATTTCACTCATTCCTTCGTTGGGGTCTTGTCCATTGGCGAGGTTTCTTAACCTCTCAAAATCCTTCACTTTGTGTCTTTCATTGGGTGGGAGGGTTTTGAGATGTTCCTTCAACTCTGTCAGGTCAAAGTATGTGTCTTCCTCTTCATCCTCATTTTCCAAAAACATTTCCATTCGTTGCTTTTCCATCTCCATAAGTTTGTTTTCCATATATTGGAATTTCATTTGCTTCTTGTAGCACTTGCCACAAACATTCACGAAGGTTTGGAGCAAGTAGTTCCAATTAGGTTGGTTTCTATCGTTCAGGGTTATAACATCGGTCATTATACGACATCCACAGTCAAATTTAGTCATCTTATTTAGTCTTACTATATATAGGTATTGTTTCTTTAAGTCTATTTTTTGTTGTTGATAATTTTAAAAATCTAATATTATAATAAATGGCAAGGAGACTATCAAGAGATGACATCATAAGCAATGTCTATTATAATCTTGAAACGGGCTTCGGTTCAATCAATGAGACCCTTAAGAAAGCCAAGGAGCAAGACCAGACCATCAACAGGGTGGATGTGGAAAACTTTGAGGAAACAGCCCAACAAACAGATTAGAAAATACAGGGGGTCAAACTCCTACACCGCACCCTTCGCAAGGTTTGAATATCAGATTGACATAATGGATTTGAAACCCCTTACCAAAGAACCAGAGACGAAAATTCCCATCAAGAACGACGAACCGAGATATGGGTTGGTGGTCATTGACATCTTCAGCAAGTTGGCAAACGTCGTCCCTATGAAAGAAAAATCCGGACCAATCACATTGTCGGCGATGAAAGAGAGTTTCAACAAAATGGGTTTTCCAATGTCCTTTTATAGTGATAATGACCGTGCCTTCCAAGCAGGGGTAAAAGAGTTCTTTGAGAAAGAAGGCATCATTCACGTTGTCACCCTAACTCACGCCAATGTTGTGGAGCGTTTCATAAGGACAATGAAGAATATGATACACGACAGGGTGAGGTTTAATCGTGGTAGTTGGACTGATGTTGTCCAAAGCGTTGGATAAATACAACGACACCGTCCATTCATCTACAAAAATGAAACCCAAGGATGCCCACGACGACAAGAACCATATGGACGTCAGGGTGAATTTGACAAGGAGGGAAAAGAACACTCGCAAATATCCAGAGGTCAAAGTGAATGATATGGTCAAGGTCTTTGAGAAGAAAAAAGACAACTACACCGAGAGGAAGGAGTATAACTCAAAGTGGAGCAATCAATCCTACAAAATCGTCAAGATAGAATACGACGACGTCGGAAACAGAACCTTCAAACTGGAAGGATTGAACAAACCGTATTTGAGGCACGAGATTTTGAAAGTATAAAAAATTATCTATAATATTAATATATGACAGAGGTAGTCGTAAAAGAGATTGATAATGAAGAACCAAAGGAAGAAACAATACCAGAACCAATACAGGAAGAAGCACCGAAGGAAGAGGAGAAACCAGAAGAAATAATTGAAACACCAGTTCAAGAGAAACCGCAACAAGCAACGGTAGTCCCAAAGCCCAAAAGGGTAAGACCGTCAAGGGCGAAACCACCTTTTGACCCAGAAGCATTCAAAAACGACCTTGTAAAGCAACTGAAGGAAGAACTACAGAGTGCAATGACCGCCAGAGACACCTACAACAAAGCCAAAGAGGAAAAGAACAAAGCGACGAGAGAGAAATTGAAATCTTTAGCATCAAAAATTTTGTAAAGTATTATATATAAAAATGAACATCAAGGAACAGAAAACGGAACTCAACAAAACTGACATCTACGAAAACGTCCGCAAGGACATCAACAGAAGACAAACCGTCCATTCAAACAAAAGTGCCAACTACAGGAGCGGAACGCCCGAAATGCCAGACAGAAGAAAAAAAGTGTATAGTAGTTATGACCACTACTACCACAACGACAGCAACACGGCAAGGATGCCAACTCACAACCATCATCTTTACCTAAAGCGTCTTCTTGAATATCACAACACCGAGCACGACTACAAGGTCTTACAAGTAAAGCAGAGGATGAAGGAAGAGAATGAGATGCTACAGAACGAAATGACAAGGTTGAGGGAGGTGAGGAAAAATCACAGATTGGAAGATTACGGGGCGAACGTCCAGAATATGAAACAGAGAATTGATGAGTATAAGCAGTGGTTGAGAGGCGATACACAAGATTAATATAAAAATCTAAAGTATTAATATATAGCAATGACAGCAGAAGTAATCAACGCAAAACAGGGATTGACACGAATACCCACTTACGCGGAACTCATCAAGGAAATAGACAGGGAAAAGTTCAAAACCAATGACATCAGAAAAATCTTTGATAGGAACGCTTGGTATTTTCACGAAAGTCCGCAGGGTCAAGCACTGAACACAAACAACATCCACCCAGCAGACTTACAGCAAATGAACTTCAAAAAGATGGCAGAGGAAGCGACCGCAAGGAAGGAAGAAGAAACACCCAACCTTGACTTTGAAGATATGACCGACTTGAGGGACGACGCCATCAGCGACTTTGAGATGTCCTTTGACAGAGAGGCAGAGTTGAGGGAAGAGAACGAAAGGAGAGTAGCAGAACAGGCAAATTTAAGTCATTCACAAGACCACTATATGGCAAACAAAGGAACATACGACGCCGTTGGAGCAACAGCATCGGCAGGGATACAAGAAGACGAAGAACCGCCTTCAAGCAGTAGAAGCATCTTAAAGAACTTCCTTAAATCATCCAAACCAGTCATCAAAGCAGTCGCCACAGCAGGAGGAACAGCAAAGGGAGGGTCAATAGGAGGACTAATAGCATCAAAACTGACAGACACCATCATACCCGACGAAGACGAGGAAGAGAAACCGTCCAAGATAAAACCAACACAAAAACTAATCAACAAACAAGTCAAAAAGGTAAATCACCAAAAGAAGTTAAAGGAGGA